TTAAAACCCTTGTATGATATATTTTTTATATCTTTAAGACTTAAATTCCCTTTTTAGTTAGTTTTTATGACTTCCCTATAAATAGGACTCACTTTATTTATTAAAAATCACACAATTATTGAGAGATTATTATGAGACAAATTTGCTTTCTTCTCATTCTTTATTAAATTAATTTCGAACTTATCAAGAATTAAATTCTTGTGGTGTTCTACAAATTCAAGTAAGGTTCATAAGTTTTGTGATCATGGGTCAAGATATTGTTAGTGATTGTCTTGGCTCTAGTTCAATAATTTATTAGGTCAAGCTTTTCACATTTTGATTCTTGGCTTTCTTAGGTTATTCTAATTTATCGTGGGTTCCGTATCTACAATTGTTACGTGGGTTCGCATCAATTACTATCAGAGTAAGGCTCCAAAAATCAAGATTATATCCTAATTATTTTCCTTTTATTCGAGTCTTTTGTTTTTTGTTCTTTTTGTTCTTCGCGTTCTTCATTTTTTTGGAGTCTCTGATCCATAAAATACAAAAAAAAAAATCAAAACTTATTTGTGTACTAATCTAGCATTCAAATCCATTTCTATTTCTTTTGCTGGTATCTAGTTGAATTTTCGAGCAAACAAATCAAAAAAAAAAAATTGCCAACAGTATACAAGTTCATTTTTGAGTTAAAAAAAAATTCCAAATTCAAAAGTGTTCATTCCAAATTCATCTTTAGCGTTTCATTCAAGTTCAAATTCCTACATTTTTGAGTCATTCTAGATTACTTTCATTACTCAATTCTTTATTTGGACTCCACAATGTTAAATTTTAACTGAGATCAAATTAACTTTTTGAATAACTTGTAAGAAAGTATTAAGTGAAAAAAACAGAGTGGTGAGACTAATAGAGGGAAAATGCCAAGTTGAGTGATACACGAATGTACCCACGTGAGGTAAATATTAAACTAGATTTAGGATATCTAACAGAGACGGTTCTACTTTAAGTGGCAAGAATAATCAAGTCAACATGTCGGATGAGGTAATATGACGGTTCGAAAGGTTGTTTGAGGATGTGATAAACAGATTGGATAAACAAGATACGTTGGTTGCTAACTTACGTAGTGAACAATTTAGAGAAATTCCTAACACAATGAGGTAAGGAAGGTGGGATCATAGAGCGGATTATGCTAGTGAATGGGAAGCATATAGTGATATTAATGAGGAAGCATTGATGGATGTCAGGTTAGAAAGAATGAGGGATAGAAGAGTTAGGCATCAAATGAGGGCTAGAGATCTTGTTGGAGATAGTGTCGATAGAAGTATGGACAATATCAAGATGACAATCCCTTCATCCAAAGGAATGAGTGATCTGGAAGCATACTTGGAGTCGAAAAAAAGTAGAGTTGATATTTGATTGCCACAACTACTCGGAGGAAAAGATTGCAGTACTTGAATTTATAGAATATGTTATTATTTGGTGGGATCAAGTAGTAATATCTAAGAGAAGGAACCGTGAGAGGCATATTAATATATGGGAAGAATTGAAGGCTATCATGAGGAAGAGGTTTGTGTCTAATCATTATTATAGGGAGTTTCATCAAAAATTGTAAAGCCTCTGCCAAAGTTCTAGGAGTATGGAGGATTATCTCTAGGAGATCGATATTTCGATGATTAGAACAAATGTTGAGGAGGATTGGGAGGCCACTATGGCACGGTTTTTAAATGGTTTGAATATGGATATAGCTAATATGGTAGAGTTGCAACATTATGTGAAAATGGAAAACATGCTACATGTAGCTATGAAGGTGAAAACTCAATTGAAGAGGAATGGGACAACTAGATGTACATCGAATTCTTCGGGTTCTAATTCTTCTTGGAAACCAAAATGGGATAACAATAAATGTGATGTGGTTGTTTCAAAAGGTAGTACTGAACTACCGAAGGGAAAAGAGGAAGTTGCTAGCAAAGTGACAGCCAAGGTGGATTCCCAACCATCTAGGAATCAGGATATCAAGTGCTTTAGGTGCTTGGGGTCGGGATACATTGCTTCTCAATGTCCAAACAAAAGGGCGATGATCTTGCGCGACAATGGAGAAGTAGTGAGTGGTAGTGAGAGTCAATATGATGACTTGCAGAAATTGAAAGATGCTAGCAATAGTGATGAAGTAGAGTATATAGTGGAAGAGCTATTGGTCATACGGCAAGCTCTTAGTTCTCAAATCAAAGTGGATGATTTAGAACAATAAAGGGAGAACATTTTCATACAAGATGCCACGTCAACAACAATGAGTATGATTATTGATGGGGGTAATTGTATCAATGTAGCTAATACAGCACTTCTTGAAATATTAAGATTAACTATGCTAAAACATCCTAAACCTTACAAATTGCAATTGTTGAATACATGTGGAGAGGATAAGGTGAATAGGAGAGTGTTGGTGAGTTTCTCAATTGGGAGGTATCGTAACAAAGTGATGTGTGATGTAGTTCATATGCATGTCAGACATATTTTGTTGGAGAAGTCATGGCAATATGATTGGAAGGTGACTCATGATGGGTACAAAAATAAGTACAACTTTACTAAGGATGGAAAATCTATTACACTTGCATCATTAACACCACACCACAACAAGTGTATGAAGATCAAATCAAGTTGAAATGTAATGAAGAAAAAGAGTCATGTAAAAGGAGAGAAAAGTCGAAAGTGAATTTCTTTGTAAAAGAGAGTGTGCTGAAGAGGGCAGTAGTTGAAAATCGACATATGGTCTTGTTAGTTTATAAGGAATCATTCCTTAATCTTGAGGAATCTAATAGGCTCCTCCCTAATTTGGCTACTTCTTTGTTGCAAGAATCTAAAGGCATGTTCCTGAAGGACATGCCTAGTGGTGAAATCACTCCATGAAAAGATAAGAATGTAGATTGAAAAGAAAAATGAGCATTATGCTTCTTGAGCAAACAAGGAACAAAAGCAAGTTACATTGGAACCAAGAGATTGAGTTTGGGTGAACTAGAGGAAAGAGCGTTTTCCAAAACAAAGAAAGTTGAAGTTACAGCTACAGGGAGATGGTCAATTCCAAGTCATTGAAAAGATCAATGACAATGCCTACAAATGAGATCTTCCAAGTGAGTATAATGTTTCGGCCACTTTTAATGACTCTGATCTTTCTGTTTTTGATACAGGTACAGATTAGAGGTCGAATCCTTTCGAAGAAGGAGGAGATAATGTGATTCATGATACAAGGGCAAATCCGGGTAAGGATCCATTGATCGTTGAGGGAAGAACAATGATTAGGTCGTGAGCGAAGTGAGTCAAGGAAGCTATAAGATTGCTTACTCAAACTACGGTGGACGAAATGTTGATCATAAAAAAGCAAAGGAACAAGTTTCGTATTGAGATTGGAAGAAGAAACAAGATTGATTAATTTGGTTCAAGCAGCGGACGAGAAAGCTGGATGTAACATGCCCCTTTACCGAGGCCACAAAGGAGAAGCTCAATTGATGTATGCGACCGCATAGTCTTACTCTATGCGGCCGCATAGTATATTTTCGGAGACTTTTTTTTTGAATTTTCGTGTAATCTTTTATTTTAGTTAAAACTCTTGTATTATATATTTTTGATATTTTTAAGACTTAAATTCCATTTTAACTAAGTTTTATGAGTTCCCTATGAATAGGACTCATTCTATTAATTAAAAACAAACAATTATTGAGAGATTATTGCGAAGCAAATTTGCTTTCTTCTCGTTTTTCATTAAATTAATTTCGAACTTATCAAGAATTAAATTTTTATGGCGTTCTACAAATTTAAGTAAGGTTCATAAGTTTTGTGATTACGGTCAAGATATTCTTAGCGATTGTCTTGGTTCTTGGTTCAATATTTTATTGGATCGAGCTTTTCAAGTGTTTATTTTTGGCTCTCTTAGGTTGTTCTAATTTGCCTTGGGTTTCGTAGCTACAATTGGTATGTGAGTTTGCGTCAAATGGTAACTTGTAGTTACTCATATTGTAATATGCGAAATGAAAAAGTATTAAAAATATATATTATTATTCACTCAATAGAATCTTTATATACTACTGCAACTGTTTAGTGCATATTTTTTGCCCATTTTTTGACATTATTGGACCGCTGCACAGTACATGCCAAATTCAATTTGATGTTAATTCTGACACACAAAGGAGAACTGCATGTGAAAAGTAAACCATATAATTTCAGTTTTACCCTTTTTACCTCCAAGCATACAACCGCCTATTAATTTGGAATTGATTAAAGGTGGTTGGAGTCTTGGGGGTAAAAAGGGTAGAGTGGAGATTAAAAGATTCTTATCGTACATACACTTGTCATATACGTGTCAGGGTGGAAGAAAATTGAAAGGCTCATTTACTGTGCAACTGTCAGAAAAATACTAAGAGGGTGTTTGGTGGGGATTAAAATTAGATTTTTAATAGATTGTGATATAAGATTTTGAAATGTGTGGTTGAAAAGATGTGGAACCCATAAAAGATATAGTTAATATTGATTGTTTGATTTTGACTTAAATTAAAATCAGATTTTAATCCGACCCAAATATGAGGAAGGGCAAATGGGCATCAAACATGCACTAAATACTGAACATGTTTAGAAGAATTAAAAAATATTTAATATCATTGACGCAACAATAGTTCGGCAAGTACCATAATAAAAATACCAACATAAAACCAAAAATTTGCAAGTTGATTGGAGCCAAAAAAAAGTTTATATATACATCTAAAAATGAGCGGTCAGATTATAATATTGGCATCACAGTATCTTAAGAGACATCTTACCGGTACAATCTCACCTTGAATAAAAATGAAAAATTATATATATACAAAGGGTGATGCTACATGTACACCTCATGCATTACACAATTCTTTACACCCCCTCACATGGAGGGGGACCACAATTATTTTATTATGTGTGGACCCCCCTCCATGTGAGGGGGGTGTAAATGATTGTATAAAGAATTATGTACACATAGCTTTAAAGTCCACTCGGTTGTCCTCTTAAGAAAAAACTTCTGGAGTGAGTAAATCTTTAGTCCTCTTCTGCATGCTAATTAACACATTATGCCAAGGGTTAACCCTCGAAGGAAACCTATTACTCAACCCCACATTCACATCCACCAAATCCTCAGTTTTCACACTCAAAACCTCCTCAGGAACTGCACCATCTAGCAACCAAATCAGGCAAGAACTGAACCCTTTTGTAATCTCTGAGTCACTGTCAATTCTAAATCTCATCACCCCATTACTATCCATCTTTACCTCCACCCAGACCTGCGCTGTGCACCCTTTGACTTGGTTTTCTTGAATTCTCAAAGACTCATCGAATGGAGGCAGGAGAGTTGCGTAGTGTAATAATCTTTTGACTCTTTCGATGGGTTCGGATAATGACTTGAACTCTGAATTTAAAGAATATGTCTTATCGGTTATGTTTAGAGTTTGCAGCTCTGGTGGTTTATTTGCTGTCAAGAAAGAAACTGAAAGATTACCGGGTTTTGGATTTCTTGACCTTGATTTAGCTGATCTGTGAGAAATACATGTGGTCATAGGAGTGAAAATTTGTGGGTTTTGGGCGTAATCTTTTGTGGGATTTATTTGGATATTAGCTGGTTTTCTGAAGAAAGAACGTGGAGATGGAGAAAATGGTTTGAGGGTAATGCAGTACATGCTTCTCAAGAGAAGACAATTTGATCGAAGTTTGTTTGAATAATGGGAGTGGGTTGAATTAAATAGAAGAAGAAATAAGTATATTAAGTACAGGGTAGAATACGATAGCACCTTCTTACTTAAGATTAGTGATTTGGATTTTAACTCTGCACGATTTTTATCGATCAATGATTTCGAATTTGAAAATAAGCCCTGTTTGGTACACATTTTGATAGTAAGAATGCATTTTTACTGTTAATGTGATGGAGAATATGTGGTTAAAAAAGATGGAAACATAATCGATGTGATGTAAAATATTATTTTATTGAAAAATGTGTAGTTGAAAATGAGTAAAAGAATGAGAATGAGAAAAATAGTGTGGCTTAAACAAAGGCTAAGTTTGTTGAATACCTCGCGGTACGCATGAATAGAAGAAGCTTGATGTGACCAAAACAACTATACGTTTCGTTAACATATCAATGTCAACTTGTACTTTAGACCAACAATTACTTTTCAACATACTAGAGGATGAAAATTGTATATTCATTTTATAAATTTATCGATTCATTTGATTTGTTATTTCACTAAGGCATGAACAATTTTGTACGCTACGTATATTATTCTCTTTCTATAGAGTTGCTTTAGAGTTTTTGCTAAAGAAATTTGTGTCTTTTCCTTGAACGGTTGCTAACCAAATGTACACGCCACACATTCAATTTGGATGTCTATATAATACAGATATGCAATAAATTTGTGTGGTTCATAAAGTCAAAGTTTTAAATAATTTGCAACTAAAGTACAGAGAAATTATTCTTGGAATTAATTAATTTAGGTTACATAATTTGCAACTAAAGTACAGAGAAATTGTTCTTGGAATTAATTAGTTTAGGTTCATAATTAGGTGAGTGATGTTATTCATCATGTTGCTTTGTCATTTGATAAAAATTATGGTGCCATAAAATGTGTAATTAAAATGAACGGTTGACTTAGACTTCGTTTGAATCAAATCATCATGTTGATTTGTGATTTGATGCATTAATGCGATAATTTTTATTGGCATGCATCAAATCACGAACCTCCACGTGCATGTCATATATGACGATTATCGATAATCTTCATTATGATAACAGTACTCTAATTAGGTAGTAGAAAATGGGTTATCGACTAAAGACAAATGGTATAGTTATATTATCTAAATAAATATTAGTACATTACATTGAACCGTTACTTATACGACAATTTTAGTCAACTTAATTTGACACAAAAAAATCAACTAGCTAATTGATCCATGTGATTTTTGATATTCTAAAAGTGGAATAATTTTATGCCTCCGTTTGGCACCCATTAATTT